GACCTACTACACATACTATTATTCTTACTAAACTTCCACCAGCTGTTTACTGGAAGTACGTAAAGGCAGTGAGAAGGGGCTGAACGGAAGTCTGTGAATTCCCACAATCCTTATGACGGAGCGTTGCAGGCCTAAATCCTGATCACCTCGCCCTCATCCCATGACAAATAAAGGATAAAGGATAAAGCATTTGCCGTTGATCAATCCCTTTTTGGGATGCGGCACGCATTCTACTTCCATTTGTACATTCGCAGTGGCGTTTGAATGCGATGTGGCCTATACAATGACTTGCGGGGGCCAGCCGATGTTCAAGTCAGTGTTTTTATCCTCCCAGACAAGTCTGGTACCAATTAACCGACCCCGGAGGGATGGAAGGCTTGGTTGGCCCGGGCGACTCACGACCCAGGATTTGATCCCGGACCGCTCGCGTGGTGAGCGCGCCACTTGTCACTGCACCACTTCCGCCCAATAAGAAGGTTTAAATCAAAATAAATATAAAATAAACAGAAAGCACAGCAAATTTCGAATGGCTGACCTTAAATAGCTCACGAGATTCTCCAAGCTCCAACTAGGAATCCCATGCCTATGAATAGCCCATCCAGCGGTGACCGATCCGCTCATGATAATCGCTTGTTGGGCCAGCCCTGGAATCAAACTATGAAGGATGCACATCCAAGGAAACAATGACAAGTCGAACTTGTCTTTGCCAACCTTCCAGTTCTGGGCTAAGTGCTAGTAGGCTGCATGCAGCACCACCGGCCGACTCGCCCATCAACGTGACCCGAGAAGGATCGCCTCCGAATTGCTTTATGTTCGACTGAATCCACTGGAGAGCCATCACCTGGTCCCAAATACCAATATTTGAATCTACATTGTTGTCGCCAGATCGTCTAACAATGAAACCTGAAATAGGTCAAGTAGATTGTGTTGAGAAACGCTAAAAAGTATGGGAGAAAACGATTGTGGTCACTACAGTGCGCGTCAATTGTATATGCCACCCCCTGATTTTTTCAGTTTTCTGACTTATTTGGAAATTTCGTAAATCGGCATAGCAACCATCGTTTTCGGCGTGTCGGAAAACTAAGAATGGTGTTGTTTGATTTTGGTTAACGCGTGGATTTGAATTGCTCTGTTCTTTTGAAGAAAATGGGCCGCGTCAATTGCTTATGCCATCCTAAATTTTCTTCAGAATTTCTCATGTCTCTAACGCTATTCAGCTACGGTGTGCATGTAATACAAATGAGGAAATCCTCGACTTATGCAATGCACACAAATGGTGGAGCATTTATAACTAATTAGTTCGGAATATTAGCCCTAATACTGGACGGTAGCAGCATGAAAACGCTTTATCAGAGAAAGTGCTGTGTGCTCACTCTTGCGATCGCTCCTGCTGCTTATTGTAGAACTCATCGAGGAGTGTATCCAAGGCAAAACTGGGAAATTGAAGTGCTCAAGGAGCCCTTAAATTCTCATTTTCCCGCTTCGAATCCGTGGTCAACTTTATTTGTGGTCTTGGCTCCCTGCGAAGCTCGAAGCGTTCACGCTCACAAAGTCTCTTTTTAGAGAGAACATGACTCGTACCTACTACCTGTCTGGTACCCATCACTGAACTCGATCGAAGTTTTCTTATCAAGGCGATGCAATGATGGCCCATGCCACCACTTCGGTGTCCCGTTCAAGTTACAACTGGCCCATGTCATCATTTTCGCTCGCTCGGTACGAAAATTTTTCCAGAGAGAATCGACAAAGTTCGGCGATGGGTACCCCCCCACCCCCTCCGACCCGCGGTTTGCAACCTCATTTTCTCTCCTACAGAGACTTTGTGAGCATGAACGAGGCTTCGCTCCGGGACGCGAGATCAACGACTAAAGCTTTGACTCACAAGTCAAAACGAGAAAAATCGTGAATTTAAGGGCTCCCCGCGCGCATCACATTTCCGCAAAGCTTTTGCCTGGATACACTCTTGAATAAGATCTCAACATCCAGCCCAGCCCCCAGCAGGACCGATCGCAAGAGTGAGCACACAGCACTTTCTCTGATAAAGCGTTTTCATGCTGCTACCGTCCAGTATTAGGGCTAATATTCCGAACTAATTATTTATAAATGCTCCACCATTTGTGTGCATTGCATAAGTGGAGGATTTTCTCATTTGTACTGCATGCACACCTGAAGCAAGCTGCCAACCAGCGTTAGAACTATGAGAAATTCTGAAGAAAATTTAGGATGGCATAAGCATTTGACGCGGCCCATTTTCTTCAAAAGAACAGAGCAAATCAAATCCACGCGTTAACCAAAATCAAACAACACCGTTCCTAGTTTTCCGACACGCCGAAACCGATGGTTGCTATGCCGATTTACGAAATTTCCAAATAAGTCAGAAAACTGAAAAAATCAGGGGGTGGCATATACAATTGACGCGCACTGTAAACTCGAACAGTCACTGCACATGTGACCTTTATTCAGAATCGTAAACGCATTCGAGATCGCAGTGCATGCTGTAGCTAACAAGGAACGCTCATGTTCGTGTTTAATTTTTCATCTCCAATATAAACGTTTATCAAGTAAAATAAGTCGATTCCAGAAGGAGTCATTAGTGCAGTTCCGGTTTTATAAATGGATTTGAGGTGAAGTGCCCCTCGAGCGACGCGCTAACCCCTGGCCCGGCCTCAGCAATTAACAAAACGAGATATTTGCGTTGGTGAAAAAATGCAAAAGTGATACGTTATAACAAGGAGACCAAAGATTCATAGTATCCCCGTTTCTGCTTCGCTCGTGTTTCTTATTCGGTAGGTAAAACTTACATGGTCGAGACGGAGTTTGATCTAAAGTCGTGTGTTAAAGGCACGAACCACGTTGCTTTTCTGAAGATATTCCTGTCGTGGATGCACATACTAGGTCAGAGCTCTGGCGCTTTCTCGCTTTAAGACGCGTGACTAAGACGCTGAGGACTCAATACGTGGGCCTTTAGATGCTCCGTGATTCGGAGCAAACCCGACATTGCGATTCTCGCTTATGCGTATGCGCTTTGGTGTGGAATTGGTGAAGTTCTGGGCGTAGTTGTTGTTCGTTGTTTGAAGATAAAAGATTAAAGCATTTGCCGTTGATCAATCCCTTTTTGGGATGCGGCACGCATTCTACTTCCATTTGTACATTCGCAGTGGCGTTTGAATGCGATGTGGCCTATACAATGACTTGCGGGGGCCAGCCGATGTACAAGTCAGTGTTTTTTATCCTCCCAGACAAGTCTGGTACCAATTAACCGACCCCGGAGGGATGGAAGGCTTGGTTGGCCCGGGCGACTCACGACCCAGGATTTGATCCCCGGACCGCTCGCGTGGTAAGCGTGCCACTTGCCTCTACAGAACTTCCGCCTAGTTGTTGTTGTTATTTATATCATTATGATGACATTTAATAGCTATAGGGCGGAAGTGGTGTAGTGACAAGTGGCGCGCTTCACCACGCGAGCGGTCCGGGGATCAAATCCTGGGTCGTGAGTCGCCCGGGCCAACCAAGCCTTCCATCCCTCCGGGGTCGGTTAATTGGTACCAGACTTGTCTGGGAGGATAAAAACACTGACTTGTACATCGGCTGGCCCCCAAGTCATTGTATAGGCCACATCGCATTCAAACGCCACTACGAATGTACAAATGGAAGTAGAATGCGTGCCGCATCCCAAAAGGGATTGATCAACGGCAAATGCTTTATCCTTTTATCCTTTATCAAAGTTTCATCCAGCTCTAGTTTCCGATAAAGATTCCTCTTCATGAAATAAAGGTCGTTCGTAGTTCTTGATTTGTAGTCTACGCGGTCAAACGCTCTGTTATACTTCTCAAGTAATACAGGTAGACTAGAGATGACAGAAACAGACAGTTTTGCTACTCCACCAACGCCGAGAATCCACTCAATCCCTCGAATGGATAGGAAAAGTGAGACGGGCCGATTTTATTTTTATAGATTTACATTTTATATAAAGGATAAAGGATAAAGCATTTGCCGTTGATCAATCCCGTTTTGGGATGCGGCACGCATTCTACTTCCATTTGTACATTCGCAGTGGCATTTGAATGCGATGTGGCCTATACAATGACTTGCGGGGGCCAGCCGAGTAGTATAATGCACACTCGACTCGGAGAATAAGGGGTGCGTAGCGTTTCTCCTCCTGGGGTCAGCTCATCGTCGCACGCGGCGATCGGGCACTCGCCGCGTGTGCGGCGATTCTGCGATGTGGAGGTTTTTACTAGTCCATGCTGTTGTCCACCGTTGCAGCCTTCACATTTGATTGTCAAGTGACGAGGTGGCTAGTCCCAAGCACAGTAAGGCTCTTCCACTTTGATGTCTCCCATGGACATGAGCGCCAGAAATTAAGTTTGGAAATTAAGAAACGCTGCGGAGAACATTGGAACTTTCTGAAACAGTCTAAATGAACGAACCATAGTAAACTGCGTGGTAACGTCATGTAGTATGGGCGTCATGTGTAAACATATCGCCATACTGCATGATCTACTATCTTTCACGCCAATGGGGAAAATGGGTCAGTCAAATTAAAAACAGGTCGCTCAAACTGCGCCTGAGTTCGCTCCATCCACACTCGCCCTGTAAACGAAATCAATAAAATTACGAAACTTCCACTCCAACAGGCCAAAAGGGTGCGAGAGGGCTGAAAACCATATTGTATTCGCACCCTATAACCTCCTCTATATGTGCACCTTGCGAGTCGCCATGGAACACAACTCTATAATTACACTTGAGCAACAACCCCCCCTTCCATCCTTCAGTTAAAACAGCAGGTGGATACGGATAATAACGCGTCTAAAGTCATGGACAGTCCCGAACTTGCGCGAAAATTCCACCGGCGATGTGCCAGATAGTCCCGCCAACAACCCGCCACATCCAACCACCACAACGCCTTCGCTGCGTCGATACGCCCCGAGCCTGCGCGGCGACCCAAGAGGCAAAGGCCACGTCGCAGGATAAGACAAGCTTCGCAGGTCGCAACTACGGCTTTTCTGGAATCCAACCCTTTATCGCTTCATCCAATTGCATCCGGATTTTTCTCTCGTTCAGTTCCTTCTTGCTTCACATCCTTCCAAAAAGATCGGATGACAGCTCTTGATGCTTCAGCCAATGTACAAGCTTTCTATCTGTTTAATAATGAATTGAGACAGCCAAACAGGAACAAAACGACGAACTCGACAACAGTCCAAAGAGTGAGGAGCTATCAACATCCAACAGCTAACTAGGCCTCCGAAGAGCATTCCCAGCGTAGAACACATGAAATGGAACAGAACAAAGCTCAGTGCTCCACATCTTCTACCTTGGACTTTGTCAACGTCTCAGAGTCTGAGACGATTTGTGAGAGCATGATTCAACAAATCTAGTGGTAGGATAGTTTCGGGCACGTGGTAACTTCCGCCAAAGCTAGTTCCTGTGTAGCCTGTACGCGCACATTTTCGTAAGTCGGGGAGAAAAAAGTGAGTGTTCACAAAAGACTTAGCTGCTTTTGGGTAGCAGTCGAATCGTAAGGCCAAGTAGGTGAACCGAATTCTTAAGGGTGCCCAACATGAAAAATTAACAGTTTTTTTTGAATATCCTGAGACAAACTCCTCATTTATCCATCTTCAGCTTCATTCTGAGGGCGTAGACTGCCCCATCAATCTTTCAAAAAATGATGAACGAAGAAAAATTGGTGAACTATCAACAAAAACTATTTTTGACGAATCACGAAGATCTCGCACTTAACAGGCGAGCATCCGTGATAAAATTCCACAAACTCTCTATACCTTTAGTCTGGAGTACGAATTAAAACAGCCCCTACCGAGTGGTCCGAGGCGATAGTTGATGGTGACGAATGTGATCCCTTTGAAGATAATGTTCCTGGCTACTGTCTGAAAATATGCGGGATCGCGTAAATAGCCCAGTCAGAGAAAGTTATTCGATCCCCCTTTCTCCTTGACCACATCTCGGATCACTCGTGTGATTAATCCAGAATGAGGATTAATGCCTTTACGAATGATCGGCGTTATCCCAGTGGTTTTCCTTAATTTATGTCCGTTATTTGTTTTCGTTCCATAACCATGTAAAGACAAAACACCAAACTATAACAGCCCTCAAAGAACCAACTAGGCCGTCAATCCAGCAAAGTAATCCAATGCTACTCAAATTAGTCTGCTTCTACGGCCTCCTATCTCACCACTCTGACCATCTCTTAGTGTCACCCACGCTCCATGTCATTCCGTAATCAGACTAGAACGAAGCCTAAAAAGAACGCACGCCGTCGACTCAGAACCGATGATCGGCGAAAGTCTTTTGACTTCGTCCTCAGTGATCGCCCTACACATTGGATACTATGATTTTCACACAACGTAGGAGCTGACCGCTGGAAAAAGCGAGTCACTCACGTAAGGGCTGAAAACATTCAAATAGAGACAGTCCTCGCTCTGACGCTTCATGTTCTCAGCAGAAAACTTATCATAACGGTGGAATCCATGAACTGTATGCACGGAGGGCCATACTCGACCGCCGACAGTTCCTGATGCCATCGGGCCTTCTTCACTGGCTTCTGCAATTAATCACGTTTGCAGACCTGACTAGCGCTTCTGTTAAGTTCCTTTTTTCGGGTTAAGTTTTTCCCATGAACCAGTTGGTGCCCTCCTTCAAATACAGCGAGACGTGTCGGGTGCCAGTACCATGCACCACATCGACGCGCCTTCACAAATATTCAGAGATTTCTTGTGCCAGTGAAGTGATCTACGCCTAATTGCAAAGGTGTTCTAATTGTCGTCCACAACTGATAGCAACTAATCTTACCCAGAAATCAGCTACCACTCACTATGATAAACTTTCAAATCTGAATATTTGGGGCCGCTGATACAGGCTTGTGGTCGTATTACATCTAAAACCCGCACCTTTCTCGCCTTTTTAGAAGGGCGAAGTTTAAATGTGCCGCTCCTTATGCACACATTCCAGCAGAAGTCGTGCGCATAAACGACTATTCATTGGGATGGTATGAGTACGCCACCGGGCGCCGATGTCGCGTTGTCCGCGGCTCGGAAATGTACGCCAAACCGTGTTAGGGTCCTTACAACAGCTCGCCTGCGTAACACCTGCTAATCTTGGCTCATCGGATCGGTTAATAATGGCACGCACAGCCTATTGGCACGCCACCGTGACATCAACGTAAAGTCTATAACGCGTGGTTTGTTGCACTGCATGTCCGTCGGCACCAAGTGACTGGGTTCAGCCATCTACAAGGCTCATCAGTTTGCCGTTGTTCGCAATTCCGTTTCGTTCAGATTGCAATTACTGAGCAATAGCCAACTATTTACTACGAAGACATAGACTATTTTGCGCCCAAAATAGTTTGCAAAATTTATCCGCAAGTCGCTTACGTCATTGAAAGCTGCTTATCAACCGTTGTTATCATGATAGATAATGTATAAAATATATAGACTTGTATATATGACGACTGTAATAAGAAGTGAACCAACAAAAAAGGGCTAATTTTTCAGTGTGAATATAGGCATAGAAAAAAAAACCAGGAAAAGGCCCAAAACTCGAAGATATTAAACTGATCCTACTGGCTGATTGCTTCTCGAATAAAAAATCCCAGATGAGTCCATACAATCTGCTGCTCAATCTTACCTGTCAAGTGGCATGGACTTAGTCGACGAAGCATAGAAAGTGCCGCTGGAGCAAAAAGTACCATTCAACGCGCTATAAGGCGTTGGATTTTTCATGATTGCCCGTGGTCACTTCGTCAATTTGATCTGAGGTTGTTGCCTTTATTTGTCGAGTTGTTTCAGAAATTCTTCAATTCATTTACCATGTGATACTCTGATCAAAAATGAAAACAGATCGAGGTAGATTGAGCATTAAAAGACAAGGAAAAGCTCGCGAGAAACACACAAGTCGCCCTAAAACAATTATACGAAGTTATACGATCTGGTTGAACGAATGTATCGTCGTCTAAGTCGACGATCTTAATCCCTAATCGTCTCCTCCTGTCTAAGTCGACGATCTCTAAGTTAGTCACGCCCCTAAACCAACAAGGGGTCAAGCAGGCTCAGAGTTGGCACTCACCCTCCTTACACCGGTAAAAAACTTTAGCTTTTGCAAAGTCTCTTTTCTACAAAAAATCGCCCCGTTGGACCGTTTTTTCTCCAGAACCGGGTTTTTTGGCTTTCAATGACTATAACTTTCTTTAGAATGAACCTTTTGCGATTCTTGTCCCCCTGGGGTTGAAAACTAGAAGGTTAGAGCTTTTAACGAATACTTGAACTCTTTCAAAATTGATGGAGTCAAAAAATCGCCCCGTTGGACCGTTTTGGGGAAATCGCGGACCGATTTTTGGCAGAGCGCTGGTTTTTTGGCTTTGAACTGTTATAACTTTCTTCAGATTCAACTTTTTGCAGTTCTTGTCCCCCTGGAAGAAACTAGAAGGTTAGAGCTTTCCAATGAATACTTGATCTCGTTTCCAAAATGACCCGTTCAAAAAATCGTCCCGTTGGACCGTTTTTTTTTCATGAATTTTCGGAGCTACTCTCCTGAAAACACGAGTTTTCAACACTCAAACACTCACAGCTCTCTTCAAACTCAATTTTATGGGGAATAATGATACCATGACATCGCACAAGCTTTGTGCTTCATAACAGATACTGAACCCTTTTCAGGAAGTCGCCGACAGGCAAATATTTTTTTCCAAACTTTTCTTGTAAGCCTTTAGCAGTCAATCTACCCAAGTGGTCACTCTTTTACTAACTTAGGTCCAGTTTGAAGACATTGGTTCTCCTCGAGAGCATATTTGTGTACGTGAACAGTCAAATATGGACACTTCTGCAGTAGACTCTTCTGCTCTGAGGTGCGCCATGCACTCGTTTGTGGTTAATAGTTGGAGAAGCACTCGAAAGTTATGCCTCTCACCTACGTATTGCGACGTTGACCTTTGCGAATACGACCCCCCCCCCTTTCGGTGGCCAAATACGACCCCCTCGTTGGACTTTGTCCAACGGACAGTTGATCCTGCTCATCACCTCATCAAAAGAATGGACGGCCATTGAGCAGAACTCCTGACGACTCCTTCATACGTTCATTTTTTGTGAGCCAGTTTGCTATCTCCCTTCACTTTGATACTCACACCAATTCATTTCATTCATTACATCTGCCCTCATTTTCGAGTGCACTCACCCTCACGAAGACAGTATCGCAGAATGTGCCTCTATTAAGGGCGGCAGCGACCTGCCTTTAATACATTCCGGCCTTTGCTCTCTGGGGCGTCTGACACCCATGGGTCGTCAGGAACTTCCAAGAGCTGATTTTTCCAAGAATTTCTTCGACAAGTTTTTATGTTGTTACATACCTATGTAACAGACTCATGCCATATGTATGAAAAAACCTAGACTTTAGGTTTTATCTAGTTCCTAAAATAACTAAAATTTAAATGGACTTCTTTGAGCTCTAAGAAATTGGTAACAATTCACTTGGAACACTGTATGCAAAAGAATTTATGATATATCGCTGCGGCACAATCGGTCGTCTTAAAAATCGCCGCGAGTTCCAGGCCGCTTCAGGTTGCATCTTGAAAAAAGTATTATGAGTGATGCCTATGGATATGACATACACTGCTTCCTTGAAATTCTCAGTTTCCTCCACCAAAAGATCGTGGGTTTGGAGTTTATCAGCTCCGGATTGAAAAGGAGCACGGTTGTTCCATTTTCTTAAGATCAGTTGTCGTTGCTTGGAACTGTAGTATTAGGATGGTAAGAAAGTCCTGAGCCGTTTGACACTTTTTTTTGCTTTACTTTTTTATTCCGCGTACAATGGAATCTACTCAACAATATAATCACCATTGTTACTCACTACAGAGTCCCACCTAATGGGCAGGTCAGCGACCCCCTTCTCCCAGAACTGAGCAGACTGAGAGTCAAAGAAATCGCTGACCGCTCTTTCAACGTCTTCAACTTTGGTGAATTTTTTCTTCGCTAGGAATGCCTTAAGGGGATGAAATAAGTGATAATCAGAGAGGGCAATGTCAGGGGAATAGGGTGGGTGGGGAACCGCGTCCCAGATCAGCTCTTCCAATTTTGCACGGGTCTCTTTAGCTATGTGGGGCCTGGCGTCAT